TCTAAAATTATCTAAATGTAATTAAAAAAATAAAAAAAATAAAAATTATTAAACTATTTATTAAATTAAGACATAAAAACACAGTTTCGAGAACGAGATTTTCTGCCTTAGTGTCATTTTTACATCTTTGCATAATTTAAATTATAATAAATATATTTTTTTTGTTCACGCCGTCAGTCCACCAATTGGCAAAACAAAGTTGGACCTTGAGGTTGATTTCCACGTGTCCCCCCTTTCTTTTTCCTTTTTTCTAATAGGTTTAAACTTTATTTTTAGTCCCTATATTTTAAAGAAAATTTTTTTTAGTTTTTATGCTTAACAAAATTCTTTTTTAATTCCTAAAATTTACTTTATAATCTTTTTTTTAGTCCTTTAATTATCTTTTTGCTGAGATGGCTTGTTAATTAAGAGAACAAGCTAATTTTTTCCCATAAAAACAAGCATGGAAATGCCATGTAAGAAAAAATTGATGATATGGGCCAAAAAAATATATTTTTCCCCACAAAATGACTTGGAAATGAAATGCTGAAAAACTTGATAATGTGGGCAAAAAAAATATTAAACTACCATAATAGTTTTACTGGGCCCATTTAATATGTAATATTTAATTATTTATTCCCTTTAATTAAACTTAATAGTTTTAATGCAATTTTTTTAATTTTTTAAAAATAAATTTTATATAAAAATTTAACCATTTTCAACACAAATTTTTGTTCTTTACATGCCTTTACAAAAATTAAATTTTCACAGCAAATTTGTTCTTGTTCCTCTATACATTTCAATTCCAAATCAAATTTGTTCCCATAATCTTGAGTAATGTCACCTCCTCTCTACTAATTTCAATGGCGGCTTAAGCAAGAAATCCAAGATCAATGACACAAAAAATCCTACATCCATTACCCAAGCCAAGAATGGTGAAGCAAAAAGAACAAAAGAAAAAGAAACAAATCCAAGAAATCCATATCAGAGTAAGATAACAAATGAAGAAATTCAAAGAAATACAAAAGGTGAGTCACAGAAAAAACTTAAGAAACAAAAATAATAATAATAATAATAAACCAGCAGATCTATACTAAATTTAAAGAAGAACTCAAATTTCTTCTTATCAATCATTTCTTGATTTATACAAGAAAAAAAGGCAATAAAAGGTGATCCTTAAGATTTGGGCGCTGGAAATCGAGTAAGCAATGGTGAAGTACTTGAAGCCAAACCCAATCCATTGTCTTACAGGGTTGCCATCATCTTTCAAGGCCACCATCATGCTTCAAGGTAGTTAATGAGAAGCATTTTATATGTTTTAATCTGTTTTTTAATCTTAATTTTATTACTATTTACATGAACAATATATGTTTTCAATAGATTTTTACATAATTTTTATTTTTTATGGACAAAGAGACTTGAATGCATAATAATAGGAGAACTAAATTTTTTGAAAGTTGAGGGACTAAATTGCAAGAAGAAAGGTTCCTTTTTGGGACCTAATGAATGAATTTTAAGTTAAAGAATAAAAGTGCTCATTGTATGAAAGATGGAGGATTAGATCTGCTATTTTACTATAAAAAATTGCAAAAAAAGGCCAAAAACCCGACACGGGTATGGTGCGGACGCATCCTTGTTGGTGTCAGCACCCTGCTGATACACGTGAAATCCAAAAGCACTCCAGCATTATGCTTAGTTTGACAATGCTCT